AAAAGCTACAACATATTTATCTAGATATCATAAGATTATTTTAGCATAGTGCTAATTTCATTGCAATAATTACCAGTCACTTTCTATTTTACCAAATTTTGAGAACCAACAAAAGAAATGTTCAGTGACCCAGTTGATGCTGATGTATTAAAACATTAAACATAAAGTCATGAGAAACATTTAGACCATACATGTCTGTTTATTGATAAATATAATAAGACCCTCGGGGAGTTTACTATTGTCCCTGTCATTTTAAAATTCAAGATCTGCATCAGCGTACCTGAAAACCTGTAAATGATAATAACGGTGAGGTTGATCATTGTTAATCACTCATTGCAGTCAGCCATGTGAATCACATATTTTAATGCTTTAAAACCAGTTATTACAATTCAAATTTAGCAATGCTGGGGGCTTGAAAATAAAAATGAGAAAATGCTAATAATGTATAACATGAAAGGTAGGTTTAAAAAAAAACAAACATTAACCTAGTAAGGTGTTGGACCACCACATATTAAGAACAGTTAGATGATTCTTGGAAATGACCCGTTAACATTAAGTAGCTCTTCTAAAGCTCTTCTTTATTTCATGTTATTTCATGTTTAGATTTTTAGATACTCTGAGGGGAATCAAAAATATTTTTATTATTATCTCTATATTTGGGTGTAATTTTGTCCTGAAAATGACCAGTTTGACTAGATTGGAAATATTTTCTTATAGGATAAAGCTGATCATTGAGACAAACATTGCGCCACAGTGACTCTTGCCTTTAAATGCTCCAAGTTAGGTTAGAAAACTAGAAACAACATTAAGACAGAGCCAGCTAATGCTTAAACTGTTCAGATACTGTTACTACATTTGCAGTGGTTCATTTGAGGCTATAATTATTTTATTTACAGATCTGTATTCAATAATTATGGCTTTTAAACTACTTTTGTGCTATTTACATTTTTTTTCAACTTGTCATTTGTTAAATCTTATTTATTTGCCTTTTCCCTCTTCAGAGGTCCCCACAGCGAGTCATCCTCCTCCATCTCACTCTGTCCTCTGCATCGTCTGTCCTGACTTCAACTTCTTCCATGTCCTCTATAATTGCATCCATATATCTCCTCTTTGTCTTTTTCCTGGCAGCTGTATTTCTAACATCCTTCTACCAATATACCCGCTGTACTTCCTCTGGACATGCCCAAACTATCTCAGACTAGCCAAAAACTTTATCTCCCTGTTATTCAACCTGTGCTGTACCCCTGATGATCTCATTTCTAATCATATCCATTCTTGTCACTCCTAAGTTGAACATCAACATCTTCATTTATGCCACTTCCAGTTCTGTCTTCCACCTTTTTGTCAATGCTACTGTCTCCAAACCAGACAGCATAGCTGGTCTCACAAGTGTCTTGTAAGCTTTTCCTTTGACCTTTGCTGACACTTTTTTTAGTTGCAAGTCACTCCTGAAACTTTTCTCCATCCACTCCATCCTGCCTAGAATCTCTTCTTCACCTCTTTAAAACACTCCCCATCTTCCTGGACAGTGGACCCCAAATACTTGAAGTCCTGCACCTTTGTGATCTCTGTTCCTTGTAGCCTCACTGTTCCACCAGCCTCCCTCTCATTCACATACATGCACTTTGTTTTACTATGACTGACGTCTATTTTTTGTCTTTCAAGTGCATACCTCCACCTCTCCAAGTTATCTTCCACCTGTTCCCTGTTCGCACCACATATCACAATGTCATCTGCAAACACCATATTCCACGGAGATTCCTGCATGACCTCATCTGTTAGTTGGTCCATCACCAGAGCAAAGTAGAAGGGGCTCAGAGCCGATCTGTGATGCAATCCCACCTCTACCTTGAAGCTATCTGTCACTCCTACCGCACATCTCACCTCTGTCCTGCTGTCCTCATACATGTCCTGTACAAGTCTAACATACTTCTCTGCCACTCCAGATTTCCTCATGCAATACCTCACCTCCTCCTTCGGCACCTTCCCAGATCTTCATTGTGTGACTCATGAACTCAATTCTCCTGTAGTTGCTATGACTCTCTACATCACCCTTGTTTTTAAAAATGTGCCCCAGCACACTTCTTCTCCATTCCTCAACCATTTTCTCACCCTCAAATATGCCATTGAATATTTGAGTCAAAAACCTTACATCCATCTCTCCAAGACATTTCCAAACCGCCACTGGTATGTCTTCATGTCCTACTACCTTCCCCTTCATTCTGTTCAGAACTTTCTGAACTTCACCCTCACTAATCTTTCCCACTTCCTTTTCCACAGTTTCCCTGGTCTCTACTTTTCTTTCCCTTTCATTCTCTTCATTCATTAGCTCCTCAAAGTACCCCTTCCCATCATACTCTCCTCACTTGTTAAAACATTACTATTCCTTTCTTTAACAAGCCTAACTTGCTGTGCATCCTTTCCAGCCTGATCCCTTTGTCTTGCAAGTCCTTCTCACCCTCTTTATTGTCCAGCTTCCCATACAACTCATCATGTGCCTTCTGCTTTTCCTTAGCTACTTCCCTCTTTGCTCTACAATGCATATCCTTATATTCCTGTCTCCTCTCTTCAGTCCTCTCATTGTCATATTTCTTCTAGGTTAACCTCTTTATTTGAATAGCTTCCTGCACTTCATTATTCCACCACCAGGTTTCCTTATCATCTTGTCTCTGTCCAGATGACACACCAAGTACCTTCCTACGTCTCTCTTATTACTGTTGCTGTAGTAGCCCAAGCTCTTTCTTACCACCCAGAGCCTTTAACAGCTCCTCATTGAATTTCTCACAATATTCTTCCTTCCTCAGCTTCCACCATTTCGTGTACTCTGATTTTACTATTTTTCTCTTCTTCACAACAGTCATTCTACACACAACCATCCGATTCTGTCTGGCTACACTCTCCTCTGCCACAATCTTGCAATCCCCAATCTCCCCCATGTTTTTTCTTCTACACAGAATGTAGTCTACCTGTGTACTTATTCCTCCACTCTCATAGGTCACTCAGTGTTTCTCCCTCTTTTGGAAACAGGTGTTGATTACAGCCATTTCCATTCTCTTTGCAAAATCCACCACCATCTGTCCTTTCTGGTTTCTTTCCTTGACACCAAAACCTACCAATCACTTCCTCATCTCCTCTTTTTCCTTCACCAACATGTCCATTCAGGTCTGCTCCGATCACCACTGTCTCCTTCCTGGGAATTCAAATTCAAACATAAGTAAAATATAAAATTATACTCTCTATCGCCTCATTCATCTCCTTCCAAAACATATCTTTCTCCTCTATGTCACATCCAACCTGTGGAGCATAACCACTGACAACATTTAACATCAGACCTTCTACTTCTACCTTCAGACACATCACTCTATCTGACACTATTTTCACCTCTACTACATTCTTTGCCAGCTCCTCCTCCAGGACCACTCCTAATCCATTTTTCTTTCTTTCCACACCAATCTGTCATTAGTCAAATAAATGGTTTAATTGTAAAATGTTATTTTTCACATGGCTTATTACATTTGAATTTAATTATAGCAAAAGTATTTTAACTTTGCCTTTGATCTAAAATAAACTGTATGTTAATAAAATGTTTTTGCTGATTTAATAAGATGACTGTCAAAAATTTAGAAAAAAAATGTTTGGTTAAAATAGCCATTTAATTATTTGTTTCTTTTCAACTTAACCTTATCATTATATAATTTGTTCTATTTTTTATTTATTTTTTGAAAAATAAATATAGATTAACAACCAATCTAAGTAGTGTCAAGGACTATTGTTTTTTGTTACTGGTTTCAAGAATGTTTCATGCTTTGGTACATGATTTAGTCATATTGTGTTATCAAAAGGACATGGGAATATAATCGCCATGCCTATTGATTGCTATGGGTGTTTTATTATGTTTCCTGAAGTCACTTTATTTGCCTTCTTTTGACATCTAACCAAGCAAACTTGGCAAACGTATGCCTATCAGTTGTGTTTATCTGAAACCACAAGGGTTTGGGGGTACATCAGAATTTCTCCCATGACAGGGTTGCCTCTCTTTATGATCTAAAGTCATCTTTCTGTTGTCTCTTTAAAAACATTCTGACCACACTGAAACCTTTTATTGTTCTTTAACTTTACGGCCATTTCTATTTATTCAGGGAAAATTGACCACCCAATTTAACAGCTTAAAAATATAAATTATATATTAGGGGGATTTTTCATAATTAGAATGCCCAAAATGATATTTGACAATAAAAAAAAAATTCCAGGCCAGAGTTTTGTGAAGACCTTCCAGCCCACTCATCCTGCAGATCCAGTAGTCTAACATGAGGCCTTGTTTTTGATCAAACTTACTCTTATCTCCTGGTCTTCAAACATGGAGTTTTTTTTCCTAATCATTTTTGAATTTTTATTATTATTATTTTACTCTGCCCATGATAAATTTGGTGCATCATAAATAGTTTTTGTTTGTACTTATCCGCAAATACGAACATGCTGTAGGAGCACGGTCCACCTGCTTACGACTTCCTGCCTTGAGATAAACCGATGACAAGCAGCTGCTGTCAGCCATGGATTGTTTGATTCTGCAGCCTGCATGCATGTGAAACAGCTTTTTAGTACTAAATGTTTATTTGTGCACATTACAAGTAAGTTATGCTCTTTACACTTCCAATATATATATATATATATATTATTAATAATAATAATAATAATAAGTCCACATGCACATGCTCAAACTTCCCTTGTGTAATAGCAAACAGCTCCAGTGGCACCTTAGTGTGCCGTTGCACCTTAGCATGCTGGCAAGCTAAATAGGAAGCCACCCATGTGCGTTC